CTCAAAGGTGCCCCAGGAGGAGCCCGCGCGAGACCCGCTCCAAAGGCCCCGCATCCAGCGCCCCCACGAGCGGGGCAGAAGCGGGCAGGACCCCCTGGTCCCAGCACCCACCAGGCCCGGAGACGACCCCTCCGGGAGCGGCTGGGCCTCGGCGTCCCTCCTCCAAGGCCTCGTGCGGNGCCCTGCGGGGCAGGAAGCGGAGGGCGGTGGGAGGGGCGAGCCTGGGGCGCAGGGGCTGCCCAGCCCAGCCCTCCAGACCTGCGGGTCCTGCCCCTACCCAGGGCCCTGCTGCTTCTGCCCGGTTTGCAGCTCTATGTGCCCCTTTTAAACCCTAAACCAAGGGTTAGAAAACCCCAGCAGTAGTCATAGGAACCGAGGGCTGTGAATTCCGGGGCCTGCGGGTGCCCGGCACACACAAGCACCCACCCCACTGTCCTCGACTGGGGAGCGCAGATCCTGGCCGGGATTTGTCTCTGCCCTGCCCACCGCCTTTAACACGAAGGTCTGAGCACATACCAGGTGCCCAGTGTTGTTTGTATTTGTGCCCTCTGCCATCCAGCAGCCCCTTTATATATATGTCCCTGATGTCTGATCCTTTGGGTGCCCTGGGGAACCCTGGTGCTTTCATTCAACATCACGCCCCACTCACCTGCCAGCTGGCTCTGCAGGCTCCCTGTTTGGGCCTACCAGAGCCCTGGTGGGGGCAGTGCTGGCTGGTTCCCCGGGGCTCACCCGTGGGTTCACTCTCCCTCTGCCTTCCCCACGTCCCCAGGCCTCTGCACTGTGGTTACTACTTCACCACGGGAGGTGTGGTCGGATCAGAGAGGAGGGTTAGGAGCCCTGGTTTCAGTGTCTTTGCCCCACACCCTCCCCGTCTCCCCACCTGGACCCTGACCTATGCCCCTCTCCAGGTGCCCACTGGCTGGTGATGACATTCTGGCTGGTGGCCCAGCAGAGTGACATCCTCGGCAGCACCTGCCACTGGAGGCTGTTCAACCTGCTCCGGGGGGGGTGCACATCCTCTGCTACCTCAGCTTCTGGGACAGCCCGTCCAGGAATAGGATGGCCACGTCTACATGGCAAGTGGTGAAGACGGGTTTCCTTTATTTTTTTAAATTTATCTTTATTGTTGAAAGTATTACAGACGTCCCCTTTTTCCCCATTGATCCCTCCACCCTGCATCCACCCCACCCCCAGGCCTTCCCCATACCAATGTCTGTGTCCATAGGATGGGTTTTTTAATCCTTTCTTCTACTGTGTATGCAGAGTGCCTGCATGTGTGAGCATGTGCGCATGTGTGTGCACCTGTGCATGCACATCTATTTAAGAAGGGATCGCTCCATTTTAGGAAAAAATTCTAAAAGGAGTTATTGTCTTGAACAGAGATGCTGGCCCTGAGAATAGTAACCCGACGCCCTGCTGTTCCCACGTAGTGACCGTGGCAAGAACGAGGGGGTGTTTGGCCATGTGTTTCAGCCCCTCTCTACGTCAGGCCGTCTGATAAGTGTAATCACAATTCTACGTTATGTAGTATATATATATGAGTTCCAGCCGTGGTCCTAGATCATGTGAAGGATCCGAAGGTGATATAATGCCTGCCTTCAGGTGGCTTCTCATCTGGGGAAGGGGCCTCACAGAAGTGAAGTGACATGTCCACGGTCACAGGGCTGGCGGGTGACACTGCCCAGACTGGGCCCAGGTCCCCTGCCCTGTCACATGGTCCTTTCCTGGACTCTCTGTCCCCTAACAGGCAATTCCCTGGTGGAGAGACATGAGCCTTGACCCCAACAGAAAGTTATGTGTTTTGGGTAAATTGTGTTGTGTTGGCAAAGAAAGAGTTAAGGCCTTTTGGGGGTGAGGGGAATCCAAAAGCAGAATACACTTTCTAAGGAGGCTGGGCCCGGTGGGGCTCTGTTTTTTAATGGCTAATAAAAATTTCCATTATCTGCTTAGTNAGACCAGAGAATACACTTTCTAAGGAGGCTGGGCCCGGTGGGGCTCTGTTTTTTAATGGCTAATAAAAATTTCCATTATCTGCTTAGTGGAGAGCATGGCCCCAGGTCAAAGCCACCAGAGCCCAGGGCCTGCATGGGCGAGCATGTGTGAGCATGTGTGAGCATGTGTGCATGTGTATACATGTGTGCACGGGGGGAGTGGGCATTCTTGGGATTATTAAACGGCTCCTAATAACGTTTTTAATTCCCTCGTTATTTAAGTCTTCTCGAGTTAAAATTATGCCCATGACCGACCATGCAAAGCTTTCAAAGACCTTTAGCACAACAGTATTCCAGTTTAGTGTTTTAAATATCTTGTACATGGTATTTCAAATATCACCTTTGAAGTATGAATAGTTTAATTATTTTAAGAAATAATATTTTTGAAAATTGGAAAGCAAAGTTAAAAAGCCGCCTAGTGGGAGGGACAAAGCCTTCTGCAGGTGCTGCCCCAAGAGGCCACTCAGGAGGCTCAAGGTTCAGCCAAAAGCGACACTCCCCCCGCTGCCCCCTGGTGGCCGCAGACCAAATGTACCTTTAAAGAGGCAAATGCTTGAAAAAGAATTTCTAAAGTNCCACTCCCCCCCGCTGCCCCCTGGTGGCCGCAGACCAAATTTACCTTTAAAGAGGCAAATGCTTGAAAAAGAATTTCTAAAGTTTGTTCTGNACACTCCCCCCGCTGCCCCCTGGTGGCCGCAGACCAAATGTACCTTTAAAGAGGCAAATGCTTGAAAAAGAATTTCTAAAGTTTGTTCTGAAAGTTTGTGACTCTAGCCTACTGGAACTGACCGGCACTATGAGCTCCGCAGATGCTTTTAGTGACTGTGTTATAAAACTAATACCTGCATCCAGTCAACTCGAGCATGTGAAATACATAAAGTAGGAGAGAGGGTCCCCTCTCCTAGCCTCCCTGACTTACCAGCGGAGCCGTGGCCTGCAGACCCCTCCTTACACTCCCTGGGGGCCATGACTCCAAGTTCCGTGAGCTGCACTGAAGACAGGGACAACCCCCTCTGCAGAGATGCTCTCAGCTCCTGACCCTGTTCCCAGGAGGGCTCGGTCACCCGGGGAGCCCCGAGGGCACCGGGCCTCCCACACTGAAAGAAGCCCCTGCAGAACTGTGGGATGGGCACCCAGGCCCTGTGCTCCTGACCGGGGGCGACGCTCCCTTTGTCCCCTAGATTATGCTNAGTCTCCTCTCCTAGCCTCCCTGACTCACCAGCGGAGCCGTGGCCTGCAGACCCCTCCTTACACTCCCTGGGGGCCATGACTCCAAGTTCCATGAGCTGCACTGAAGACAGGGACAACCCCCTCTGCAGAGACGCTCTCAGCTCCTGACCCTGTTCCCAGGAGGGCTCGGTCACCCGGGGAGCCCCGAGGGCACCGGGCCTCCCACACTGAAGGAAGCCCCTGCAGAACTGTGGGATGGGCACCCAGGCCCTGTGCTCCTGACCGGGGGCGACGCTCCCTTTGTCCCCTAGATTATGCTCCTTGAGAACAGCGTCCACTGACTTCCTCCAGGGGGCGTCATGGACCAGCTGGTGGACAACGGCAGCCGCCTTGCCGGGATTTCTCATGAGTAAGACCAGTGGGCCTTCTCATCTCTCTCCCCACCCAACAGCAAAGAGGGAGCTGGCTCAGAATGGCACAGAGGTGAAAGAGGAGGGGGGAGCGGAGGGAGGGGGAGGAAAGAATACAGAGAGATTGCCCAGGCGTGCCCAGGTGTGCCCAGGCGTGCCCGGCTGTGCTCATCACGTGGCTCATGGGTTGGGTGCTCCTGGCGTACCTGGAGCAGCCTTCCCCGGAGAGGGGGGCTGGGGGGTGCCACCTGGAAGCCTAACCACTCCTTTGGACTCCGTTTCTCGGAGGCACCCGAGTCCTATGAGCACAGCGGGGTGGCAGGGAAAACGCACCCCCCCCACTCCTCGCATTTGCCTGCTCCAATTCATAAACAGGTGCCCGACACCCCTCCTAAAACATGCCTCACGCACGGCTTCCGCCACTTTCCTCAGGGAGATAGTTTCTTTCTCAGCGTGTTGACCAGGGCGTGGGAAGTGGAGCCGGCACCGGCTCAGCCGGATGGGGGGGCTCAGAGCCGCCCTGCGGCCCTTCCCCGCTCCTGGAGCTGCCTGAACCCCGACCCCCGTGGTCAGGAGGTCGACCTCGGTGGGGAGATGTGTGTGCACCATAGTCACTGGACCACAGGCTCTCCATCCACAGCTCTGTCTCTCGTCCTGAGCCCCCTCGGCAAGCGTTAACTGAGTACCTACTGCACGCCAGCCGGGGCTGCAGCAAGAACCCCGAAGGACGCGCCCTCGAGGAAAGTCTGTCTTCACCGAATCTGTGTATTAGGGCTGCGTGATCAGGGCCTCAGTCCCCCTTGGCCTTGGGTGCCTCACTGTAAAAAGGTGACATCTCCCTCAGCGGCTGATGGTCCGGGCTCAGGACAATGTGAAGTGGTTTGCTCAGTGCCCGGGGCACAGCCAGCCCTGTCACATTGGCACCAGGCCTCCATTCCCCTGTTTGAGGCTTGGCTACCTGCCCCCCTCGTCCCCTAACACAGTTCTCAGAGGGGGCGAGGGGATCTGGCTGGGCTCCCCCAGCCCCTCCTGGCCCCTCCAAAGCTCCCCCACCCGGTGCAATTTCAGATTTCATGCTGTTTATAACGAGGCCCTGAACCCGGGCACTTGGTCCAGTCCAACAGGAAACTGGAAATAACGTGGGAGGTTGCTGGAACTCCCTGTTAGAGACTCTATTGCCGTGGTCAACACTTCTGATCAAAATAAATCAACCCAACAACAATGTGATTAAGATGTTTATGCACAAAGGAAGTGTTGTTGCTGCCCATGGAAAGTCCTTGATCCGGGGGTTTTGGTGGCTGTGTGACCTCTGCCTGTTGTCAGGATTGTTCCTCCCCCCTCCCCCCAGCTCGGGGATCCATCACCCCTGTGTGGGTGGCTGAGTTCTGAGTATCTGATCCAGTTATTTGAAAATAAAACTAGCATTTCTGCCAAGCATTCCCATATACATGACACGCGCGCACTGCATGCCTGTGCACATACACACGTACGCGTCTCGAGCGCTCACTTGGAGCCACCCTCTAAAATGTAGGATTTAAACTTTGTTATTACATTTAAAAGAAAAATTTTAATCCTCACTGGAGGATATTTTTTTCATTGTTTTTCAGAGAAAATGGAAGGGAGAAAGAGGGAGAAACATACATCGACGTGAGAGGGACATATCGAGTGGTTGCCTCCCGTGTGGGCCCCGAGCCTGCAACCCTTAGGCCGGAATCGAACCCGGGACCTTCAGCCCACAGGCCAGCGCTCTAACCGCTGAGCCAGACCAGCCAGGGCTGTTATTACATTTTTAAGTTCAGAAACATTTGCAGCTTATGGAAGCTGGAGCCAACGTAAATTGCCCCCAGGTATCCAGTCCTGATGCCCCACAGCAGTCCTGTTTGGATCTCAGAACTCCGGGACCTGGGCTTTTGTGAGCCACCGGGAGGAAGGGATGCAGGACTTCGAAGGACACAACCTCGTGCTCTTTTCCCTTTTCCAGGCAGTGTCCCGCTGGCAGTTTACTGTGGCCTGTGCCACCCCAAGTCCACGGCCACCTGGCAGGGCCTCATGGGGAGGCCCTGTGGCATCGCAGGGGGTGACGGAGCAGAGAAGGAATCATCTCCCTGGGCCTCCGCTCTAGCTGGGGACAGGCTGGAGAGCCCCGGCACATGCCCAGGGGACGGTCCTGAGCTAATAAGCCTGGGGAAGCCCCCCAGCCCGCACTGGGGCCACCCAGAGGCTGGGCTGGAAAGCCAGGGGGTTGGGGGGATTCCTTCCTCAGTTACCACCACTGGCTGTTGGTGAAACTTGCCCTAAAAACCAGGAATGTGTCCAAGATCCACGCAGCTTTTGGGGAAGACCAACCCGGCTGCTTTTGTTCCCCTACGTGGGGCTCGAGTCAAGATGACAACCGGCAGGGGAAGTCGTCGTTTTCCCAGCAAGGCCGAAACCCCTCACCTCAGAGAAAGGCCCTGAGGTTCAAGGTGACTCAAAAGCAGAGGCTGACATGCTGGAAACTTCAAGTTACGTCTCTTTCAACAGTGACAGTGATGACAGAGCTCCTGTCCAGAAGCCATCGGCCAGCTGGCAGGAGGGCTGCCTGGAGGAAGGGGCGGGGGCCGTGTCTCAGGTCCGAGGAAGAGGCACACGTGGCAGCTGAGAGGAGGGGAGGGCCGAGAGCTCCACGCTGTACTTCAGCGCCGCACTGAGGGGGCCACCTCCTCACACCAGGACAGCGGGTGGGCAACTCTGCAGATGTCGGGAAAGGCAGCCCGGCTCGGCCCGCCTCGGCTCAGCGGGCCGCCGAGCCCTTTCCCAGCACCACGGCCGACATCAGCCCCATCCTAGGCACGGGCCCAGGCCCAGGGGGAGATCCCACCCCAGCACAGTCTTCGCTGGCAGATCTCGGGGTGACTCAGAGCGTGGGGAGCAGCAGGAGCCCACGAGGGACCTGGGCCTCCTGCCACGGCTGGCACGTGGCTGGCACTGTCGAAGGCGAGCCTGAGGCCAACGGAGAAGCCCTGCCTCTCATCCGCCCCGAGTCTGAGTTCCTCGCGGGGACGGCAGCCGGAAGGGCAGGCTGGAGACCCAGACGCGTTTCCTCGTGTGCCCGCAGTCACGGTGGGTGAGACAACAGGCTGGCAAACCCAGCTGCCCTGGGTGACGGGACAGGAGAGACCCCGCTTCTGACGCTACAGCCTTGGAGCATCAGCCATGGCCCTCTGCACAGCTAGGAAGTGAGGGGCCGGAGGAGCTTATTTCTAAGGCGCCCGCTGCACGTGTGCGCAGGAGACAGCCTCTGGCGCAGCCTCGGGAGAGGGAAAAGCTTCCATCCAAATCGCCTGCTTCCGCTTGTGAACTATGTGATCTCTGTCTTAGTCTATCTTTTTTTGTGTGTGTGGCTTCAAGGAAACCAGAGGTATAACCCAGAGTCCTATTTTATTCTGGGTTCTCATTATTGTTAATTCCTCCTGACACTAGTGATTATCAATCCCTTTATAAAAATGTATTCTAACTGCATTATTTTGTGAAAGTCCTGGTAAGGCCATATAAGCCCTTTCTGGCCTCTTCAGGCCCCGGCCGGGTGGCCCAGTTAGTTAGGGAATCGTCCCCACACTCCACGGCTGCAGGTTCATCCCCGGTCAGGGCACATACAGGAATCAGCCAAAGACGCGTAAACCACAAATCAGTGTNTTCTCTCATCATTGATGTCTCTCTTCTCTCTCCCCCTCTCCCTTCCTCTCTCTGAAATCAATAAAAACAAATAAACGGCCTCTTCATGTCACACGTCCTGTAAGCGCTGGCGCCGGAAGGTCCTGATGGGTGATGTGTGTGTTACTCCGTGGTGGTTGCTCTAAGGGCATTTATCCTGAGTCTGCTGTCCCACCCGCCCTGCTGCATTTCTTGGTTTTACTGAGGCTCCCTACCCCCCCTCCCTCGGGGTCACCCAGGGAGCAGGAGAGGGGCTCCGAGGGCCCTAAGCTCCGCAGGTGGTACAGGCGTAGACTTCCCAGCCCTCCCACCGCCACCGAAGCAGGGGAACCGCTGCTCCAGCCCTGCAGGAGGTGGGGTTGAGTCCCTCAGTTTCCACAGCGACGGCCCCTCCCTGGGACGAGCCGTTTCTGCAGCATTGGCCTGGCGAGGCCTGGCCACCTCTTAGCAGCACCAACATGGGAGAAGGTCCAGAAAGGGAGCCCCTTGAGCAGGGCGCCATGTGTGGGCCCATAGGGGAACCCCCAACTCCCCAAGTCAGCCTCCGAGTTCCTTCTCGCCTGCACCCAGTCCTCTTCTGGCTAAGAGGAGAGGTGTTCACAGAGCCCCCCAGGGCCTGCCGGACACAGGCCTGGAGACCGGGACCCTGGGCAGCAGCCTCCTGGAGGCACCTAAAGGCCCTAAAATGCCTCGTTAGCTCATGCCTCCAGAAGGCCAGAGGGCAGTGTGACCCACGGCACGCCTGGCCGGGCAGTGGTGTGCTTGGTTTTTGCTAGTACCTCCTGCCAGGCCAGGCAGAAGCTTCCCATTCCTCCTGAGCCGTGCCTGAGTCCCTTCTCAGGCTGAATGCTAACTACACGGAGGTCTCGCATGCACCAAGCAAGGGTTTTACCTTAAATCCTTGTTGCTGTCTTAAAAACAGAAAGACACCTATCACATGATCTCACTCATATGTGGAATCTAAGGAACAAAATAAACTGACAAAAAATAGGGCCAGAGGCATGGAAACGTGGAACAGACTGACGGCTGTCAGAGGGAAGGGGGGGACTGGAAGAGATTAACCAGAGAATATACGTGCATAGCCCAGGGACACAGACAATACTGTGGTCAAGGCCTGGGGGGAGTGGGTGGAGGTGGGCAAAGGGGAGGAACGGGGGGCATCTGTAATAGTGTCAACAATGGAAAAAAATTGAAAAAAAATAAAATGGATTTGATTCAATTTTCCATAGTATTTCAGGTGACTGGCTATCCTGGTGTCCCCAGCTTTGGGAGGGTTACAGGGCTGTGAGACGTTAGGGCTAAAACCAGGGTCCCAGTGTTAACGTAGGAAATCATTCAAACCTGTAAAGAATTTTTGTGAGTTTATTTGAGCCAATTGCCGGGAAGCCAAAACCTCCACGGACTGGGAGAATGCTCCGGAGGGTGGCAGATTTGCACCTGGCTTTATAGATTATAGTCGAAGGGGGGGAGGTAAGTGGGTTACATGAAATCCATGGGTGATAGATGGGGGGGAGGCGGGAGAAAGCAAAGCAGGGAAACCTCTGGGACGGGATGAAAAGTCAATGATGGGCACACTGCTTTACACAGGTGGGTGCAGGATAGTTAACAGTCACCAGTTAACAAGTTACCAATCACAAGGAGAAGATGCCTGGCCTCTGCCCTGGGGCACTGAGAGGGCCCAGAAAAGGGAAATGACTCCATTTTGCAAAGGCCTGTTCATCAGGATTGTTATCTCAGATGCAAAAGACCAGCCCGAGGCTTAGTTTAGGTGAAAACCTTTGTGAAGGAAAAATACTGGCTTAGGGCGTGACTGCCCACCGCAGACTGCTTGTAGTTAAAAAGTTTTCCTTTCCGACCGTCCTTTGTGGTTATTTTAGGTCTCTCAGGCAGGCCTGAGCTTTTCAGCCTTAGCATGTGGCCCCGTTTTCCTCGACACCAGGCGGGACGGGGTGGCTGTCGCCCCCATACCTATTAGCGGCACTTCGCTTTCTCCACTTTACGGAGCTGCGAAGCCAGGCAGCAGAGAGAATACTCCACGGTTACGAGCCTGGGGGACATTCCAGTCTCCAGAAATAGCTCCTACACCCCCCACCCCAACCCACCCGCCAGTCTTTCAAAAGTCGATGTGACTAATGTGCCCCTTGCTCATGGTGACCACCAAAGTCAACCCGCTGTCAGCTTGAGCCCCAGCAAGCGTGCCAGGAGGGCCCCCGCTCCGGAGGCCACGCTGTAATCCAGATTTAAGTGAACATCGCTGGGGAGGAATCTCCCATGGAAAAATACCACGGAAAAACCCATGACTGACCACACGGGAACATTCATTACAGCAAACTAATTGCCATGCGGCCCGTGGGGTTTCCATTGTAAATGGGGTCTCAGGCTCAGTGGAACGGGATTCTTTCCAGATGGAGGTAACCGCGGACGGGCTGCCCGCCCGCAGCGGGATTTTCGGATGTGTTTACAGA